GAGCGGAAGAAATTTACGGAAATCCCGGAAAACGGTTTATTTTCAAAATGAAAAATGCTACCAAAAAGTTGTGAACGCACAAAATGTAGATCTCAATGAGAGTTATTTATTGGTATAAAAGTTATCTCATAATAGTGATGGGGAGTTGAGATATGGCGTTTGTTCCGTGTTCCGTCTTCCGTCTGGCACAGGGAAGACGGAAGACGGAAGAAAGACTCTATTTAAATAATCCAACGAAATTTCGAAAAAATTTTATACCAATCGATAGCTCTCATTGAGATCTATATTTTGTCTGTTGACAGCTTTTTGGTAGCATTTTTCATTTCGAAGATAAAACGTCTTCCGTAAATTTCCGTAAATCTCTTCCGCTCATCTCTGGTAGAGATGGAGTAGGTTCAGCGGTAAAATTTGACGCCGGAGGAGGTTCAGAGGTTAAAGTTGAAACTGTGGTAGGTACAGAGGTGATAGTTGAAGATGGTGTAGGTTCAGAAGTGATATTTGAAGCTGGAGAAGATTCACAGGTGATGGTTGAAGATGGAGGAGGTTCAGAGGTGATAGTTGAAGCTGGAGGAGGTTCAGAGGTGATGGTGGAAGATGGAGGAGGCTCAAACGTGATAGTTGAATATGGAGGAGGTTCAGAGGTGATAGTCAAAGATGGAGGAGGTTCAGAGGTGATAGTTAAAGATGGAGAAGGTTCAGAGGTAATAGTTAAAGATGGAGGAGGTTCAGACGTGAAAGGTAGAGATGGAGTAGGTTCAGCGGTGAAAGTTAAAGATGGAGGAGGTTCAGAGGTAATAGTTAAAGATGGAGGAGGTTCAGACGTGATAGGTAGAGATGGAGTAGGTTCAGCGGTGAAAGTTGACGCCGGAGGAGGTTCAGAGGTGAAAGTTGAAGATGGAGTAGGTTCAGAGGTGATGGTTGAAGATGGAGGAGGTTCACAGGTGATAGTTGAAGCTGGAGAAGGCTCACAGGCTATAGTTTAAACGGAATGGTCCAAATTTCATAGCGAGATCTTTTCACTGAAAGAAGTTAGGGACAGCAATCTGAAAAATAGGATTAATATAAGCTAAGAAAATTCTTTATAAATTCGTTCAAACAAGAGATGTGAGCTTGAAACTTCGAAACACAGCTCAAAATCTGACGCTAAACATATTTATAACAAAAAATCAAACAATTTTCATTGAGATTTTTGAAAAATGGCCTGATCTTTGTTATAAACATGCTTTACGTTCTACTCAAAGTGTATTTGTGTTTATACAAATTTATGAATATAGAAAGGTGTCAAAAAACGATAGGTATAAAGAATCTGCTCACACATTTGTATAAAAAAGTAAAATTGTTTTAACGGTATTACAAATCATTCTAGTGGTATCATTCAATATGAGATAGGACCAGTAACAGCAATAGATGAGAAAGAAATAAAACAATAAACATATAATTTTTTTAAGTAGCATCAAATTCGGTGGTTAATGAGCCACATCAGCATGATTGCGGAAATAACCGAGCAAAACCCTAGAAAAGACTGATTGGATCCATTACACTCGTCAGTTGAACAGCAACATAAAGTTCCTCCACCTTCACGTTTGGCACAGCCTTCTTTCTGAAAAATGTAAGTTGGTAAAGTCAAAATATTGTATGAAAAATGTTTTCGGAATTTATTGAGGAATTCCAAAAACAATTCAAAACATTTACTTGACAAGTTCCAAAATCGCAGCTGTACTGAGCCCCTTCATAATGTTTTCGACCAACATGTCCATGTGAAGGCAGTCTGTAAAAATTCACTGTTTTAAACAGTAAACAAAAAAGAAGTTTTTGCGAATCATGACTATCAATTCTTTCCCCTGTTTTCTTCCTTTCCACAGAGGGAATAATTTTTTTTTGGTTGACAATTGAAAATTGGCTGTCTGAAAATAAAGTCTTTAATTTTTTTTTCAATTATCTAAAAATATTCTGCTTTTTTAACTTCGTTTTCAATTCTAATGTCACCCTAACTTTTATTATTTCATATAAACATTGTTTTTATCAACATTTTGACATTGTTTTGTATTTATCCAACATTCTGTCACAAAAATAATAATAAAGTGAATTACGAACAGTAAGTCTGTTTGTCTAATAACCTGATTTGGCAAAGGCCCTTTTCTCAAACAACAAGTTCTAGTCGGGAGTCAGAAAATTGATAATGCGCAGAGCAAACTGGCAACCGTTCCGTGACACTAATTTGGTTAATCTAATCGCGAAAACAAACAGGCATTAATCGTTGATGTTTTCCGTTGTATTCTTCTAGAAGAAAAAAATCAGGGCATTCTGAATTATGGTTTTGCAATTCCATATCTTTTGAAATCACTGAAGTCAAAGTCAAATGACATTTCAAAGAGTTACAGTTACATACTTTACACAAAAATCGGTTCCGTTGCAATCCAGTATTTCAATCTCTCCAATGGCATCTCCATTCACCGATCCTTGCATTCCTAAAATGATAGGTAATCATAATTCGTTTAAAGACATGCAATGACTATAACAGATGCTTGTCTATACTTGCACGATTGATTTAAAGTTTTGTATAAGAATACCTAGTGATTTGAAAATACATAATTTTTTTGAGAACTGAAACTTTTTACGCGTGGAGATTGGAGCTGAAATGGGAGGCTCTGAAGCCACAACTCGCCTGAAGATGATTCAAAACTATCCAAAATTCCCGAATATGTGTTTTTAAGACGTTTGACAACAGTCAATTGTAACTATTTTTTGTGATTTTCGGTAACGAACTTTCGGATAAGGCAAGAGAGGATAGAAATTATTTTAGTTCTGAATTCTGATTTCGAGGAAAAAACTCAAAAACACACTTTCTCGTTTTTATCATTAGACATCACATATGTATATCATACAACATGTTTAATCAATCGGACAAGTATGAACATTATGTAGTGTCAAGGGAATTGTAACTCTAGCTTAATGTGTTTTCCAAAAACAAAATCATACACCCAATTTTCACAAAAATCGATCACTTGGAATCAGTTAGTAACCTCAAACATTTTTGAATTACTGCTGCCGTAGCATTAATTTATAGATTCAACTTAATGTCAGGTAAAATAAGAAAATTTAAAGTTTAGATTTTTCAATTATCGAATGTTCTTCGTAATTCATTTTTTAGTTGTTCTCTCCAGTCTGCACCAAAATAACTTTCATGTGTGAACTCAAATTACAAATTGAAAACTGTAAAACTCGGAATCCAAAAAAATCTCACCACTAAAGCATCGGATTGTAAACACAACTCCAAATAGTTTTGCAATAACGAGAAGTTTGGTAAGCAACATTAAACCTTGAATAATATCCAAACTCTGAAATTCAATTTTTTCACAAATTACTGTAAAAAAAGAAAAGAATCAGGTGTAAGTAACAACAAAAATGTTAGGGAGAAAGCCGCTGACCAGGTCACAATGGTGGTATTATTCTTCGAAGAAAATACGGGGTAAGCAAAAGAACGAGTATGTGCTCCAGCGCGGGAACCCTCTCCTAGTTGCCAGTCATCTGGCCTACCGAACTGTATTTGCATTGTCGCTGTTATTCATTTCACTTTCTCTCCTTCCGTCTTCTTCTAATTCCCTTGTCCAACGTGAGAGCCTTTTCGGGTGATGAAGTAAAAAGGGACGCCATAGAGCAAACATTGCCAGGTTAGTCCATTGTATGAAGTCCACTTGATTAGAAGATTATTTTCACTGCCTTGAAACTTGCGACGCAAAAGCAATAGTACTTCGAAATGATAGAAATAAGTGATAAAATCTGTACCAGTTGATTTTTTTACCTCGTTATGTGACAAAATAAAAAATCAACCATATAAAAATGTGATTTGCAAAAATGTGCAAAATGCTAAAATTATTTAGGACATGATTTCGAAACGTATTATAGAAATCCAAGAAACTGTTTTACTTATCCACTTCTGAACAAATAAAATATTCAAGTCCAACTTGGTCCAATAATCATTTCGCAAGTCCTCGAAAACAGTCAAAGACCATCATTTTTGATACTTCGTCTACTGAACCTTTATAAGTAGCGTTAAAGCAACGGTGGTGTGTTACAGTTTCGTGATTTCAAAAAGACAAAGTTTCCTGTAAGATTACTTGTTTTTCCTGACAATATCTGTTTTTCTTAGAAAACCGCAGTTACTCAATATCCAATTGAATAAGTATTTGTTGTGGTTATTTGCGGTTTCTAGGTTTCTGGATTACATCAAACCACTTGTCATGCATCCGGCGTTTATTGTCATCTTCCATTTTCCGTATCGCAATTATCCTCTATTTTTTGTTCAGATACTACTGGGCAACAACAACTATATTACTTACACAACAAGATAATAACCATTCCGATCAGTTCATCCAGTTTCTACCACCTAATTTGCGGAAACAATTTCCCAAGGAATGTCTCATAATTGTTTCCGGGAATCACAACGTGCGCAAGTATAAAAGCAATGCAGAAAAGTAAGGACGTAATATATACATCATCTCTTCTGTCGTTTTCCCATTAAACGAAAGGCGTTTCAAGAAGCTGTCAACGACACGATGAGTGGTGAGTTTGAAGTGTTGGGTTGGAAAATTTAGATTCTTTGCTCCTATTTCCCAGTGACTCTATATTTTTGCCAAGCACAACTACACGCTCTTTTCTTCATATTTCTTTTTGAATACCTTATAAGAATCATGAATCTATTTCGACACATTCCACTGAGCAACTCCCAACTTAATGGCGTCAATCATGGTATATAGAAAACTTTGGGGAAAAAATGAGAAAAGCTTAGGGTTCCCAAAATTTACTATGGGAAAGAGAGGAAGCCGACAAAAAGTGCTTTTGAAAATCGTTTTTTTGCATATTCGGTCGAGCAGCCAGAAAAATAAATTTTTTCTCGAATATCAACTTTTCTAACGATTACCTGATTCATTTCAATTCTCGTAAGTTAAACAAGACAAAAGGGTTTTTTGTTTCGGTCGAAACCTTTAAAAATGAAAACTAAAGTGATAATTAAAGGAGGCCAGACACGAAAGTCTACTGGGTTTTCTCGGGGCGAGATCATGTATTCTGACGGAAAATCGTGCGATTGCGACCCAATGTGCGCTACTTGACGAGCATTTTTTTTTTAGTATACACTAAATTTCTTCAATGTTAGGCAATTATTCCCAACTTTTTTTAGTTATTCAGTCATTCTATGATGTCGCCGCATGAAAACAGAAAAAATAAACGAACACCGACATATGGGAGTCGAACCCGCGATGCACGATTAATAGACAAGCGCGCTCACCTCTACACCACACAGCGCTTGTCGGCTTCTGCCGCTAAAACGATTATAAAACGAGGAGTGGGCGACGCTCGAGCCGCCGCTTGGAAGAACGGTCGCGTTCTCGCTTGTACAGTAACAGGGAGGTATTGTTTAGTGTCCATTGTTATTTTCTGACTGTACTGTGTCATATATTAAAACACTACAATTTGGAAAATTTTCATGTCTGGCCTCCTTTAAAGTCCCAGTAAAAGTCTAATTTGAAATTTAGAAAAATCTGGAATAAATATTCTTAAAATTCATTATTCAGCTCTATTCCAAGAAATCAAAGGACGTCAGCAAGACTTCATGAAGGCTTTCAACGCTGGCGACGCTGCCGGAGCTGCGTCGGTTTATGATCCTGATGGTTACTTCATGCCAAACGGACGGAATCCAGTGAAAGGTCGCTCAGGTTTGTAAAAATATACTGTTTTGATTTGAATTTTTTCATCTGTTCAAAACATTATATAAGAAAAATCAACTCATTTTTGTTTTTCTCAGGTATTGAGGCTTACTTCAAAGAAGATATGACCGATGGAGTTCAGACCGCTCAAGTGAGTTTGGCTGTGAGGAGAATATTCAAATTAAGAATTTGATTTCAGATCATCACCGAAGAGGTGAACGGAGGTGGTGAATGGGCTTTTGAAAGAGGAAGCTATCATCTGGACGGTACTAAGGGACGCGAATCCGGTGCGTATCTCCAAATCTGGAAGAAGGTCGATGGAGTCTGGCTCATTCATAATGACTGCTTCAATGTCATCAAGAATGCCTGCTAAATTGAAAACTCTTCTGTTCGTAGAACACTTGTTCGAAATCTTATTTGCCGTTAGGGCGCCGCTTCTGCATTTTAAAACAATAATTAACTTTTAAACTTGCTTTCGATTTATTTTTTATATAACATTCGAAATGATTATAGCAAATTCAGTGAATAAATAATTCAGTTTATCAATAATGAAAACTATAAGTACTATTCTCATAATAAATATACGGAGTGGTGTAAGTATTCTTTTTTTCGTGTATTTATGCCATTAAATTTTCCAGGAAGGAAACTTCCACGCAGGAATAATCCGTCAGATCAAATTTGATCAACCATAAACTTTAAGGGTTTGAAGGTCTGAATAATAACGAGAAAAAATCATAAAGATCAATCCGTTTTTTTAATCAGAAGTTGTGAAAAAAGTTAGAAGCAAAGCGACGAACTCGCGCCGTATGCGCACCAGCCAAAAGTTTGAAGAGCCGGCATCGTGGCAAACAGGCTGGTTTCTTAAAATCTAAATTAGAGTGTATTTTATTCAAAATTCGAAACGAGCCTTAATAACGATACTGCGATATTGTGAATGCAACGCAGTATAATCTGTTCATCTTTAAAATTTGAATAGTATAAATTCCCTTAATCTCTTGGAAAATCAGGCGTAAAAAATTTTTTTGGCTTGAAATGGCGAAATAAAAAACAGATGAATACAGGAGAGAAGAAAAACAATGTTTGTGCAACTGTACTTTTGCGTCGTTTTCTCAGATAACAAAACCCGCAGGAGCAGTGCTATGAAAAAGAAAAAGAAATGGAATAAGCGTGAGAGGAGGAGAAAAACTGAATTAGAGGAAGTTAGAAAGAAAACAGGACATTGTAAAACTGAATGTAGAGAATTTTCTAATGTAGAAAAATAAACATTTTTGATTTAAAAAAAAGGGAAAGCAGCACAATGGGAAATATGGGTGTTTAAAGTTTAGATTCGGAAAAAAGTCTGAATGACACGAAGAAGAACCATAAAAGCCAATAAGGAAACATATAAAGTTTTCAATTGAAACGATAAAGCTCTGGTCGAACTAGGACGGCAAAATAGAGAGTGACGTCATAGCGTAAAACAATTTTTACTGGAATAGTTAGGGTACGAACGTCAAAGGGAAAGGCGACACCGTTGAGTTTGGCAACAATTAAGAAGCGATGTATTAGAATATGGTTGAAGGTAAATCTATTTGTACCACGTCGTTTTCAAGTAGGAGCTAGGAACGAAGCCATCAGCAGAGTTGTTTTCCCTGAAAATTTGAAATGCAATTTACGCTTTAATATTTTTATGTGAATAGTTGTCTGAACATATGACTAGTTGTCTGGATACACGGCATCCTGCGGTGACAAGTCGAAAAAATATAGCTGAGCGCGCTAAGCACGCATGGCGTGTCATGAGGCGCCTTGGCTCCTTTCTTGCAACCCTCGAATTTTTCCAAGGGAACACCTTTTATCTTCGTTTGAAAAGTTTTTTACCCCATTTTTGACAAATATAATGACAACAAATTGTAGAAGACGTCTTTGGCTTCTAGAAAAATGCATAATCTGTTTTAAAACTACATTGGTTTATTGAACGATGTAGAATGATACAAAAGAGGGGCTTTTATACTGGTTACATGATAAAGAATTTAATAAAAGAAAGTGATTGCGGGGGATGTGATTCACATTCCCCGGTGAATCACCATCAGAAGAGTGCGATTTAGCACATAATCATACAATTTGACGGAATACGGGCTGTGTTATTAGCTCTCAAACGTTTCTTTTCTTGTTTTTCATGATTTTCTCGATGTTTTCACTCGTAATTTAAATAGTTCTCCTGCAACGTAATGTATTACATCAGTACAAAAACTTATCCACAAATGGAAATTATCCCATGATTGTTTAATTCTAAATAAACCGTCAAAACCATCTGAAATGCTTTGAGAGCTAAATACACAGCCCGTATTTCATCAAATTGTATGATTTTGCATTTTTCTGAAAGCCAAATATTTTTTCTACGATTTGTAATCGCTACACTTTCGAAAAATGGGGTAGAAAACTTTTTAAACGAAGATAAAAAGTGTTCCAGTTGAAAAATTCGCGGGTTGCAAGAAAGGAGCCGAGGCGCCTCATGACACGCCATGCGTGCTTGGCGCGCTCAACGATCTATTTTTTCTTCTCAACTTGTCACCGCAGGGTGCCGTGGGATATGACATCAAGAAAAAATATCTGAGTTTGGTCAAAAAGGTAAGCACGTAATTCGGTGAGCACTACAATGCTAGTACGTGCATTAGAACAACCGGTTCATCTATTGTTTTGATTCATTTCTGGAGGGCCCTTATTTTGCAGGCTCTTCAATTATATGGGCTTTTATTTCTACGGGCTGTACTGAGAAATATCGTTAAAATTGTGGCATATTGCTATTCAGAATTCATGAAAATTTTTCAATTTTACAATACCTTAGCAAGATTTCAAACAACAAAAGTGTTTAAAAAATTTCTGCGAAATTCTGGAGTTTCTAGTTCTGTATATTTGTGTGAAAATTAATTTTCATACGATACTACTGTCGGGTATCCTATCTATTACAGCGGACACTATAATTTTTCAAAGTCATCTCAGACGGGTAATGCAACTGGATACTTCATGTTGGCTCAGCTGAAAATTATAGTAAAAATTCTTACTTTCGAACTCTAGTCCATCCATCTCCTTCGTCTTTTTCAATCAACCACAGCTTTTCATTGGGGTCCATGCGGATAGTTCCATCCTGAGATCCATCGAAAGCGAACTGAGCAATTGCTTCACCAAGAACCGGGGGAGCACATTCCTCGTATAGCTGAAAAGAGGAATAACGGGTGAACAGTATAGAACAAGACTGCTTTAAGCGAAATATATAAAATTAATTTCTGTCGGCAATTTAAAAAAATATTTAGCTTTCCGCATGCTTTTTTAAATCTCAGCCAATTGAATACAGGAACATTCAAAGTACCTCGTCTTTCCCGTGCCCGTTTGTGACACACGGGTCTACATCACTGCCTCCATTACTTCCCGAGAAGCTTCCACGACGAGCGCCTCCTCCATTTCTGTGGCTGTCGTTAATCGTATTCACTCTAGATGTCACACCAGACGAGGCCGAAGAAACGGAGCGAATTGATGGAGGTGTGTCACTTCCATTAATGCTGTTGGCTGTCAATCCACCAACATTGAGTTGGGCGTTCACATCATCAAGTTGAATTCGGTACTTTTGGATATCCGCACACAGAGCATCGATTTCTCGTCCGTACTGAGCGATTTGTGCGTCACAGTCAACCGGATTACCAAGCTTCGGATTTTCCCTGTATGCCATTTGCATTTTGATCACCCCTTCGCGGCTCTGCACTGCCCGCTCTTTTTCTTTTTCCAAATCTCCAATTTTTCCTTGGAGCTTCCGAGCTCTCTGCTGCGGTGGAAGCGTGCCATAGTCACCAGTGTCTTTCTTATCGTTGCTTCCGCTACCGAAGAACTTTTGATGCATTGACTGCTTGCGAGCAATAATTTTTCCTTCTTTCTTGCTCATCAGCGTTCCTTTTTTGAAAGTTGAGTCAATGGTTTCTGATAATTTTAAAATAGAATACTACAGAATTCAGATAAAACTTCTCACCAATTGAACCAGCGCCACTTCCGGCGAGGAAAGTTTTTGGATTACCCATGTCTTCAAAAATGAATGGGAGCGGTCGCGGATGACCCGATTTTAAGTTTTCCACCACCAAGTTGCCATCCTTGACAGGATCAATTTTTTCAATATCTTTCCTCATGTCGTTGTGACAGCTTCCTGAACACGCAAAAATTGTTTTTGTGAATATATTCAGTTATTTCTTACCAATGATAGGATGCACACTCGACTCGGCTTCTACGCATTTATTGAGAATCTCAACGGTGTCGAGAATTCTGTTCGTATGAAGCCGTCTATAGTTTTCCAACAGTTGTGGAAGCTTCTTGTCGTAGTGAATTGCTTGTTCTTCATTTGCTTTTGTCGTCATAACCGCATAAGATTGTTTGGATTCCTCGAGCGATCCCAGTCTCACTTGGTAGTTATTTTTTGTTTTCTCTAGTTCCAGACGTGAAATCTCCATATTTTTCTCCGCCTTTGCGTACTTCAGCATTGCTGCTTCCGCTTCCTTGAACTGTTTGCTATAAAAAGAAATGGTTCTTCCTCATATCTATTTTCATATTTTATTATACTTCTTATTTCCAGTTTTCCTAGTAAAGTAGTGGTTTTCTGAAGAAAAAATTCTGCAAAGTTTTCAAGGAACTCAATATTCCCGTGATGCTTTTATATTTATAGCTCACCTGTATTCTTTTAAAGATTTGTTCATGTCCGAGATGACGTTGGTCATATGTTTCTGTAGGTTCGCATTATCAGCCTCCAGTTGTTTTTTGGCTTGCTTGTATTCGGCGATTTTTTGCATCGCAAAAGGAATCACATTGGTTTTCAAATTTTCCGCAATAATCTGTAAAAGTTGGATTAAAGAAAGAAAAAACAGATGTAGCGTGAAAGAAAAAACAGATGTAACTAACCTCATGTTGAGCAGCAATTGGCTGAAGTCCTGCCACAAAATCATAGTAACCTCTGATGAAAGATACAGAATTCATCAACTCGGTTTCTTGACCTTTGGGGCGAATTCCATGTTTTTTGATGAGGGCTCTGTAAAAAAGATTTTGCAATTTCTAACCTAAGGTATTCTTACCTCATTTTTGAACTATACTCATTTTCGATAACTGCCCGGTCTTTCGCTAAACTCCCAATTCGTTCAATATATTCTATTCCTTTACCGGTGTAATCGTTGATTTGTGAGACGGCATCCTGAAATGTTATTCTGTTCATTTTTTTCAATGTATTAGTACATCTTTCTGTTTAAGTTTTTCAAAAAATTTTGAAACACTCTTAATGAAACGTGCTTTTTGAAACGTACTAAAGAGCCCAAAATACTTTCATAATGCGACAAAAATGGTTGAATGATTTCTCAAAATATATTTAGATTGCAGGAATTTGCAGGAAGATTCAAAAACTTTCCTGGTGGCCATGTTCGTTGGACGGCGGATCATTATTATTATTATTTGAAAACGCTGAATGAAATAAATCAACCATTGACACTCGTGATAGTCGAACTGTGTCTCGTCCCGAACGGAGCATGTTGTAAGCTGCCATACGTAAGGAATAGAACGGAAAATTCGATGAAAATGAGGTGAAACGGAAGTCACTGGGTTTGTCACTGCCTGGGTTTGATGGAAGATCACAAGAATCGAGAAAATGTAAAATATACTTAAGAATTCAATCCTGCTTCTAGTGATCTATTGGATTGAAACGTCAAAGAAGATGTGCCCCACGCAGAGAGAAAGGATTTTGCGGCCGGGTGAACTGGGGAGAGGGAATCTATAGAGTACAGTACAAAAGAAAGAATGACAGAAGGAACGGCGCTATATGTGCTTGCGTCGCGCGCGCGCAGTTTTCGTGTCTTTTCAATAATATTTTGCGAGTTAGCGAAAGAGAGAAAGAGAAGTTAAGAAAAAGAACACGCATAAAAAGAAGGATCAAGATTAAAAACTCATAATGAATAAGAGGTTATTGAATGCAGCGCGCCGCGGATAGGACAAAAACGCGAGAATGTGGGACATCACTCATGACCTATATGTATGTTCCAGGGTAGAAAAACGGACGAGGAAAGCTATGAGAACAGAACTCACATTTTCAGCCAAGCTTATCATTGAATGTTATCGATTTCACGCGAAAGAAATAGAAATGAGTCATGTTGTCTTCGCGTCATATTGACAAAATGTTGCCAATTTGTTATGATCAATGTGCGAAAAACATACGACAGGGAAGTTTATGAACTCATAAGTTACATAAACATTTTGATAATTTTTCACATCTCACAACTTTCGAAAAACATTGAGAATAATCTGGACCATGACGTGCTCTTTTTGAAAATAAGACAATTATTCTAGAAGAGAAAAAAATTAAAATATTAAACTTTCGTAATTCTTAACTCAATGAATCGGTTCAACGACAAAAAACATTTGTTGGTGCTTCTATAGAATAAAATTAAAAATGTACGATTTCCAACAGGAAATGAAAAAAGATGGGGAATGAAAACGACGGCGGTTTTATTTGTTTGCACATTCATTTTGAGAAGAATTTCTTAACTATCACTTATTGGCATGGAAAAAGTCTCAATACGCATACTTTTTTTGAGAGAGATTTCAAAACTATGAACAAAAAAATGTTCTATTAACACCCATAGCGTTTCATGATTTAATTGGTTCTTGTGCCTCAATACGTCCAAAAGTGGAATCTATCAGAAAAATTACGGCTGTGCTATTGGGTTTTAAAAACAAATCTTGTCCAGGTTTTGATGGGTAGTTGTCTAATAACGGCTTTTTAACAGACCATTATCCGATTTTAAACTTTAAAGGTTGAAATTTCTAGGTTGGTATTTTGCCAGAAGTTGAATGAATATCGGATGACTTTAATAACAAAGATTTGAAAATATGCACTTGTTCGGCCATGAGTTTTGCAGCTTCTCAAATGAAGGATAGAATCATAATTATACTCTCAGAGGAGATTCAAAAACTAGGAGCATAGTGATTTTATAACAGTATTTGCGGTATTTTGTTTTGTTAAGTACTCAAGCTGAAAACATGGTTAAAAAAGCAAATTTGGATTTTTGATAAATTTTGAAAGGAAAAAAAATCAAAATATTGTAATCTTTTTTCCGAGAGAAGGAAAAATTTTCAGAAACACTCACGTAAAGAGAAACCCAGCTATCTCCTTCGTTCATTGTGCGCTGCCGAAGAGCCCAACAACTCACTGCCGTCCAAAGTCAAAACTGTAGCAACGAATGTGACGAATCTGAAAAATGTTGGGTATTATTATTGTCATTTTTAAGTTTGAAAAAAAATTGCTAAAGCTTCATGGATCTGATTAAACCGTGTTAAAATAAATTTCGTATTAGATAAGACAATGAAACGAAAACTCTCGAAAGAACAAGTAGAAAAAAGGCCTCAAGAAGGCTATTCTCCCAAGAGAAGGGTCCTTTGACATAAAATTGCGAATACATCTCGCCCCATCTTGTCCTATGTATCTTTATCTTTTTTTCCTGACTCTTGCTATTTTGTAAACTTAAGAAAACAATTGCTCATATAGTAAATGCTCATATAGTTCGATTAGAATGAAATTTGAGATGTCTTTCTCAGATAATACGAATCGGAGAATCAGAGGCAAAATCGAATTGAAAAAACACCGATAAAACTAGCTCTCCTCGTGAAAAAATGTGATCAGTAGATTTTTGCGATGCCGATGAATTATTTTCGAAGTGAAAAATTTTTATTTAGAAACTCCAATGCCTTGCAATTCACCTCATGACAAAGTTCCCCATTTAATAGCTTTCAAAATAGACTGTTCAACCTAGCACATATCTAAGTAATATGCAAAACAGACAACTATCTCAGTTTTTGTCTTGTCTCCTCTCTGTCGCAAAGACCTTCAAGTGAACCACGCACCGAATCTCCGTAAACGACAAAAGCGACTACGAAACATGAAAGATTGAAAGAGGTGGTGGTGTTGTCGTGTCTCGGGTTAGGTAAGAAAAGGTCAGAAAAGAAAAAGAGGTGGCGAAGTGGAATCTGGTAGGGGTGAAGGCGACGACACATAGAATCGATGTGGAAGACAGCAAAAAGAAGACATGAGTAAGAGTGAAAAACAAAAATGCCCAGATAAAATTTTGAAATGTTATCTTAACTGAAACTGAAACAAACCAATCTATTGATTGCTGATCCTATCACTAAAACGAGCCTAGTTTTTCGTTTGAAAACAATTTAATTAAAAACTCTGTAAAATAGCCAGCCTAGTATTTTTAACTCGATTGATAAGTTTCAGAGAACAATTCTACTATGAATGAAGAATCGAAGTAATACACGGCACGAGGACGGTAACAATAATTATACCTCTTCCTGTCTTTTCGGGCTTTCACTTCATACATTCGGCACGTATTACAAACGGCCTCGGAGAAAAACATCTGTACAAATGTTTGCCCGTTATTGCCAGTTCTTCACTCCAGAAAGTAGAATCAAAGATATAAATAATGGTGTTCACATCAAATATACAAAAAAGTCCAAGAGACATTTTCAAACAAAAAACACAGAAAATATGAAATTTCTCCTACAGAATATTGCCTAAAATTCGAGAACGTGCGCTTCAAATGCGTTTCGCTCAAAATTGACAAATCCAAACCCTCAACTGCTTATTTCCTGACCAGCTGGTCTGGAGGGCCTCTCACACCATGTCCACTATCGGAAAGAGGCATTCAAGTAAAGCGTCGGGTCTGGTGGTGACTAATTTGACATGGGATTGAAAAGGAGAAGAAAATGAAAATGAAGACTGGAGAGTGCGGCTGAGCGGATGGAGGGTGAAGTAGGAGAGATTGAAAATGGGGAAAGAAATTTGAAGAACAGAAACGGCAGGATTGGTTGGCACACCATCAAAATCGCCAGATGTTCAAATTATGAATTCAATGGAAACGTGGACGGAAAAAAGTATGGCGCTCGGTCAAACGTAACATCATTATCAGAGTCCTAATTAAAAGATCAAAAAAAGTTTGAACATATAAAATAGTGAAAAAAGAGCTTTCTCGCAATACATAGGACGGTTTCAAGAATGAAGTTATCTTTCATCTCCTTTTTTTACAAGTAAATACTTCAGTAAACACAAAACTAAGTTTATAAACAACATAAGCTGTCGAGGAACTAACGCTGTACACCAGCAATCGCAATCTGTATGTCATTTTAAAGCGAGTAACAAAAAAAATCCAGAACTAACAGGGAATGATTCATCATTTTGGTGGTATTTCCATCTCTGATTGATTTTATATGAATAACATAGTTCAAATTCAGAAAAGAAAACAGTTGAAAAAAATACAATGAAACCATACTATTGATAGACAAAGTAAATTCTAGGAATTATTTTGCAACATTTCCATTTCCGATTGAAAAAACTTTTAGTAGATAGAAAGTATTTGACGCCCACGAGAACAATCGTTTTGCGATAGTTTTTTAAAACTTCAAACTATTTTGTGCTTTAAAGTGCAATACACTGCGAACCTCCCGAATGGTAACAAAAACAAAAAAGGGAGTAAGAATGAAGTCGTGTGAAAGCGTTTAGCAAACAGTTTTTCACTCACTACAGGCCGGGTTTTCATTGCCTGTACAGTTTTGCGCACACAGTCTCTCATTTGCTTAATGCTAAACTCTATAAATCGTATGACATCAAAATCATATGACTTTGTCGCTACCGGTAGAAACAATCGAACGAAACTATATAATATTGGAAAAATCAAATTGATAATGCTCTATACGCAGCTAGAGATAGTTAAGGAAAAAACGGGCCACAAGGAAAAAAGACATTATACAGATGGGTGTATTCGGTCTTTACCGATGAGCGCCTTGATAAGAGGCAAAAATAGCGAATTGTAGTAGTTGGTTATCAGGTTTGGATTTGTTTCGTACCATCGAGTATGAAACTATAATATGACTAGGTTTTTTTTTGAACTGATGAAAATTCAAAAACAATTGTGAAATATATTGATTCAGCTATTTCGAAATTTTTTAAACACGAAAACAAAAAAGAACATTTAAATTGAATTCAGAAAAAAATTCACGAATTTTGATGTAGAGATTGAAAGAAAAAGAAGGAAATAAAAAACGTCTGGGCGTTCTGGACATCCGATTTGACGCATGCGAAAATGATTAAGATCAAATATTCTGATTGATTTCGTTTGGCTAGTCATGAATTTTTGAAATACAAAATCTATGGACTAAACAAGAAAACAAAAATGATAAGCAATACTACATTTTCACCCCTTGTACTCGGATGAAAATGCCCGATATGTTTGGGTGGGTTGAATGGGTTTCATGCAGACGCAGAACACAGTGGGTGGTGCATTGGTGTGCGGGAAACGGGCGGGAGAAGGGCTGAGAAAAGACATACGACGACAACGACTTGCTGAAGGAGATTGAGGGGCTGAGGGCACCGGCACACAGCCTACGAAAAACAGAAAGAAAAAGAGCGAGAGAGTGGACAGCCCGTGGAGACGCAGTCACACCAATGAAAATAGTGTGAACGCATAATGGTATGTGTCCGGCTGTCCGCCCGTCCGTCTGCTTTAGCTCGTGTGGTGAT